TCAGAATTAAGCTTAGAATAAATAAATATATTCATTACTTTAAGCCAGCACAAAAATCTATTCTGCAACCATATACTAAGCTTATACCTATTCTTACGGATATAATTTTCATATTTAATAAATTTTATTTTAATTCTAGTTATTTTATTTTAGTTTCTTTATGTTTATATTTGTCTATGTGCCATATTCGGTATACAAATTGCAACAAATGGACCCAATATTCATACAAATATTTTGAAACTAAGGAGCAATTTATAGGAAACACTGCTTAAGTTAATTTCCTATAAGGGATTTAAATACAAGGTTAACTTTAAATGGAAATGAATGAAGCTTCAAAGCATTTGAGTCATGACTTGACAGAGTCAAAAGTTAAAAAAATTAAAAGCAAAGACATTCAATTCTTTTGTTTGTATGTTTCATAATGTTCATGTGAACTGTTGGAACTTTCTTTGTAGAGAAAAATAAAATCAAACTCTATCACTTTTAGGGAATTGGTCTGATGTATAAAATCATTATGATATAAAAAATGCTGGGACTCTAGAGAGGGTGCAGAGAAGATCAACAAAGATGATTAGGGAGCTGGAGGCTAAACAGTTGCAGGAACTGGGAATGTTTAGTCCCGTGATGGTGAACCTATGGCACGTGTGCCACAGATGGCACACAGAAACCTCTGTGCGGGCACACCAGCCATCACCCCAGCCAGGCCACCCTGCTGGGGCGTGGCTCTTGCCAGCCAGCTGGTCTTTGGTTCTCTGCCATGCATGCATGGGGGTGGGGCCTTCCCCGATCTCTGCAGTTTTCTCCCCAGTGTGCCCTACCTTTCTCCCCTCAGTGCGCACTAACTTTCTTCTGCATTTCTGCTGTCCATGCCTTCCCTAATCTCTGCAGGTGCCTCTCCATGGCAGGAATGCAGGAGGAAGCTAGGACGTGCTGGGGATTGTGAGGTCCCCCCATGCTCCATTTTGGGTGCTGAAAAGCCTCCTTTTTAGGAGGGGCAAGGTACATGCGCAGGAAACATGTCCACAGGGGCAGGGCACATGCACAGGGGGTGTTTGCATTGCATTTTGGGGATTGGAGCACGTGCGCATGCATTCGCTTTGGGCACTCAGCACAAAAAAGGTTAACCATCACTGGTTTAGTCTAACTAAGAGAAGTACTACAAGTGACACAATAGCAGGGGGTCAACCTATTCTCCAAAGCACCTACAGTCAAAATAAGAAGTAATGGATGGAAACTCATAAAAGAGGGCTACAACCTAGAACTAAAAAGAAATTTCCTGATGGAGAGAACAACTGATCAATATAATAGCTTGCCTCCAGAAGTCATGGGTGCTCCATCACTGTAAGTTTTTAAGAAGAGATTGGGCAGCCATTTGTCTGGAATGGTACAAGTCTCCTTCCAGTCTCCTAGAAGACCTCCAAGGCCTCTTCCAAATCTGTTATCCTTTATTCTCTGCCTTACCAGAGAAGGAAAATAGTCCATCTTTCTTTAACTATAGAACTGTATCTTCAGAGATAGTACGGCTATCTCATCAGTTGCAGAACAATAACTCTTACACACTTGCTGAATCAGTCACACGATGGCTGTCATGACTCAAAATGTTTGCAAATCAGAACCCTCGGTTTTGTCACTGTTCTACCAGCCCATCATCTATACGCTGTAAGAACTATGGGTACTCAATCTCCTGATTTCATCAGGACAATTTTTGTAGCAGTGCAATCTGAGACAAGTATATGGATGATGAAAATTTGTGGATAATTTTAATAAATGCCAGTATCTGATGGTGGTATTTAATCAGTTATGAGTAAATAGGAAATATAAAATAATGATTGTGCTCATTATTTATATAAGGCAAATTCACTCCATAGGAAGTCTTGGTGTTACAGTAAATAAAGCAGGATTTGTTAGTTACAAATAACTAATATGTAATTTGGCAACTTAGAAATAGATCACTCGTGTTACTAAAATTATATTTCTTATTTTCTTTTTCCCAATAGTCTGATGTACTCTCCTTTGATCTGAGCTCCATCTTGTGGTCACACATACAAGACCAAAGATAATGCAAGAATAGATAATAGGGAAGTAGGGGCATAACAGGAAAAAATCCCATTTAGAGATTCATACAATACATCCTGTTTCAGGTAAATTTAAGGCATTAGTTATTCCAGGGATTCAGCTGGTTCAGACACTCAGAAAATATCTATGGTCAAACATGCAAGTTGTTTTCTAGACTGAATTCAGGAGGAATATGTTTTTTCTGTGTGTGGAAGAAGTGCTGTGCAGAATTGATTAATTCAGCAATGAACATTCCACTTCAATCTTTCTATTGAAGATTCTTTTTTTCATATTGGCCTTCAAATGTGCAGAAATAGATAAATGATGGTGATGAAGATAGAGATAGATAGATAGATAGATAGATAGATAGATAGATAGATAGATAGATAGATAGATAGACAGATAGACAGTTTCCAATAGAAAAATGAAAATATGCAATGAAAAATATTTTGCCTCCAGAAATTCTAGCAATCACCCATTGTTTTAAAAATGAAAAATAGTTGTTAAAATGGAGATGCATACGTTTTGTGAATATAGGTGTTACTGTAAAAAGAAAGTTATAACCATTAAAATCATTCAATGTTCCTTGAAGATTGTTTATGGAGTTTATTAGGGAATGATGTAGCAAATAATTTCAACTGTGAAAATAATGATATGCTACTCCCAAAAATGATATACAGCTGATGTATGGAGAGAATAGGAAGGCAATAAATTTGTAAATTTCATTAGTTCACAATGTCAGAAGACAAAGCTGACTGCCTTCATTATTGGGTTAAACCAATAATCAAATAATCAAAGGCTGTTTTTAAAGAAATCAGTGAAGTGGCATGTGTCTCCAGACTTTCAAATAGTTTAGGACTTCTGCCTGCATACCTATTTATCGTGTTTGTCTGTCCGTCTATCCATCCATCCATCCGATTGCTAGGAGTCACAAAATCAATCATTCATGGTCTTCAACAATAGAGGAATATCATAGGAAGGACAGGCATTACATATCTCAGAACAGCAATTAAAACTATGTTACATCATAGCTTGCTTAAAGAAGCTTCTTAAAGCTTCTCACTCTACCTTTCCTAATATATGTTATTATTTTTCTGCTCTGTTTTGTAGACATGTTTTAAGCTATATACCGTAAATCATAAATGTTAGCTATAATTGCTGCCCTACTCCTGGGGCACATTCAAATGGCCCCTTTTCTTTTGACATGACTTTGTTAAAACTTGGCATTTGTTTTTTCCATGAACAATAAAATATTATTGCAGGCAATCCTCATTTGGTGGCCACAACTGGGATTGGCAACTCAAATGCTAAGCAAAGTGGATGCTAAGTAAAACTGTAACTGTGCTTATTATCTTCAGTTTTTCTTGGCTTTGCAGGACTAAGAAGGTCATAAATATGAGGATTATCATAGTTACTTTTTCATCACCATTGTAACTGTGAATTATTGCTAAACAAGACAGTTGCTTAATGAGAACTCACTGTAATTCTATTTTGCAGATTGTGTTTCATTTCAGGGTCTTACATAAGTGATTCTAGGCTGGTTGGTTGCATCTTGACTTTTATTTTTATCCTAATTATAGAGGGGAAAGTGTATGCCACTGGGGTCAATCCTGATTGAAGCAGTTTGTAATTCCTGTAAAATGAATGAACAAATGAATAAATGAAATCTCTCTCTTTAGTAGTGTTTGTGATATGAAGAGTTGCAGCTGCTTTAATAAGTTTCAGATACATGTTCAGGGCATATTCTCGCATGTTTTGAAGCTGCGGAGCCCTGAGCAATATGGGAATCGTGTTTACAAGATAGGCAACCAAATAAATGCAATAAATAAATATGAAGATCTCCCCTCAATTCAGTCATTCCAAATCTCCTGCTCCCTTTGTTTAACTTTCCACTTTGTTCAGCATCTTTCCCCTTGCCCACCAGAAACACTCTTATTTAGGTATATAAGAGCTGGACTATAAACCTACAGGCACCATTAGATGGCAGCAAAGGGTAATGCTTTTCTGCGTTTCCTTCTAGCAGATCATGATTGTCCAAATGTTGCTGCATGTCTGTGTATCATGGCTATGTTGAAGCTGTGGTACAAGATACAGGTAGTGATGGGAAATCTACCTGGCCTAGTTTAACCAAAATTATGCCATTGTTTTAGTTCACGGTCCTATAAAGCCTGTCTAGTGCTATTTGCCTACCTGTTTAAGCATTGTGTATCAAACTCTTTTATTTTACCCCCTGATCTATGAGAGTAAGGAAGTCATTATATCCTCTCCACACACCACCATCATGCTTAGAGGGTTGAAGCTGTTGGGAAATGCAAAACTATGTCATCATGACATAATCACAGATTTCAGCAATGATTTGTATACAAGACTAACTGTTCATTGATGATCAAGCAGCAATTCTCCATAGCAACAATTCAGATTTTGTTTTGTGGCAAAATAGTCTGATGAATACACATAACATACACTGAAATTGGGGGGGGGGGGAGAAAGCTAGCATTGTAATGATAATGGTGGATAGCTTTCTGTGATTTTTAAAAAAATGTTCTTTGGAAAAAGAAGCTGACACTGATTGACTGGTGGTTTATGACTTCCTCTGCTCAGTCATAACAGTGTCACTGCTCTGGTATAATCTGCACTGGAGATCAGATTCCTTGTTGACTTTTTAAAAAGTCCTGAAAACAGAACTATTCTTGAGGTATTCTCTGAACTTTATATTTGTCCACTTTTTCTTTGTTGTTCTTGATGGTTGTTTACTGGGCTTCACTGGAGATTTTTATGGTCTCATTATGTTTTAATTACACTGCAGATGTTTTACTTTGTACATACTGTGGGTATATATTGTATGCAAGTGACAGAGTGATTAGCTTGTGATGGGGTATATGAGGACCAGAAGTAAGTTAGCATTTGAACTTGTTGATTTTAAAATCTCTTCTTTATTTAAACAGATGACCATCATGTCCCATTTCAAGGATCTCAAAGATGACTTCCACAGTGACACCGTCCTTTCCATATTAAATGAACAACGCATTCGGGGCATTTTATGTGATGTCACCATAATTGTAGAAGACACCAAATTCAAAGCCCATAGTAATGTCCTGGCTGCTTCAAGCCTTTATTTCAAAAATATATTTTGGAGTCATACCATCTGCATTTCTGGACATGTGTTGGAACTAGATGGCCTCAAGGCTGAAGTATTCACAGAAATACTTAATTACATCTACAGTTCTACAGTAATTGTTAAAAAACAAGAGTCTGTTGTGGATCTTGCAGCTGCTGGCAAAAAATTGGGAATATCTTTTTTAGAAGATCTTACAGAAAAGAGCCTTTCCGGTTCCTCTTGTCTGTATTCATTTTGCAATACTGAAAAAAATGATGTGAAAGAAGAAAAAAGACAGGAAGACTCAGCCGTTACAAATGGACCAAGAATCACGAATGCATACTCAATTTTTGAAACTGAAAATAGTAATAATTTGTTTTCTCCTCTTGACCTGAGGGCAAGTTTTAAAAAAACGCCTGAAACAAATAAAGCATCCAATAGCGATCTGGACAGGACTGATGCATGCAAAGAGGTTGAGAGAGCCAGCACATTAGCGGAACATTCCTATGCTGTTACAACAGGTTGCAATGCTTTGCAACAAAATTCTTTTTATTATGAAAACACTCCACTTTATAAAACTGGTGAAGATTGTTCTGAAACTGCCGAGTCAGTGCCTCTAGTTAAATTAGCAACACAGTCATATAATGCACCAAAGGCTAGATTTAACTCCCAGATCACAGATGCTCCTACTGTAAAGACATCAACCCACCAGGGAAGCAGTTCAGCGGCTCCCCATAAAGTCATTAATGACCTCAGCCATTCTTTTCAAAAATCTCAGCTGAATAAAACCAATATTCTCTCTTCGAAGGAAGATGAAAATAAATCTGATAACCTTTCTGGATCAATAGCCACGGACATTCCACACCCTTATAACTGCAATTGTTGTACTAAATCATTTAATGATAAAACTCAGTTAAGCGTTCTTCATTCACAATCTCAAGAGACTTCAGTTTGCAAATATTGTAGCAAACAGTTTGAAAATATTGCTGGACTAGAGACTCATGAACAAGCATGTAGGGGTCCGAACAATTTTTGTGCTGAAAATGAACAGAATAGTCTGGATAATTTTGTTCCTTCAAATGAAAAAATTGGCACCTCGTATGTAAGCCCGGAGCCCACAGAAACTGAAAATGAGTTTACTGATTATCCTGCCACAAATGGCGCAATGCCAGAAACAGACCATTTTGTTAAAGTTGTTGGTGGACAGATACTATATACTTGCAGTGTTTGTAAACGTACCTATGTTACCTTGTCCAGCCTCCGAAGACATTCAAATGTTCATTCTTGGAGAAGAACTTATCCTTGCCATTATTGCAACAAAGTCTTTGCATTAGCAGAGTACCGTACCAGACATGAAATTTGGCACACAGGTGAAAGGCGATACCAATGTATCTTCTGTCTTGAGACCTTTATGACATACTATATACTCAAGAACCATCAGAAATCTTTTCATGCAATTGATCACCGACTTGGTGTAAACAAGAAAACAGCTAATGGTGGCTTGAAACCAAATGTATATCCTTACAAACTTTACAGGCTTTTGCCTATGAAATGTAAAAGGGCACCATATAAGAGTTATGGAAACTCATCATATGAAAGTGTACAAGTTAATGAAGTTCCATCTAGCACCTGTATTATTCAGAATACTGTCACTTCTGAACTGGCATCCTTGAATTTTGAACACAGTATGTTGCCAAGTTCCAGCATTTCTTTGGATAACTCTCCATGTGGTGATGCTACAGCAACCTCTGAAAATCCTCCAAATGTTTCTTCCTGGAAAATGTCATCAAGGACAGATATTAATAATACTCCCACTAACAGAAGGACATTATCTTCTGTTGAGGATTCTGGTCCTCAGGAATATGATTCCTCTAATCAAACAATTAGTAATAGCAATTCCCATGAGAATTCAACCTCTGTTATTAGCTATAACAATTCAGCATCTTCAGTTATAGTTCATAGTGGAAGAGTTTCATCTGTGATAATGCACAGTAATGCTGTCAAGGCAGTAGGAAAAAGTGATAAGGGAACTTCAGATATTGCAATCAGTCAAGGAGCCAGCAATGATCTTATACATGAGTCAGACAATGGCAATAGTAGAACAAAAACCAATAAAGAAAAGAAAAAGATGCCTCTATATGACAGAGAAGCAACTTCAAAGGAGGTAAAATATACAACGAATACAGGGATAGCTTCTAACACATCTACACATATCTTTGAGACTTCAAGCAAGACTGAAACTTATATCGCAAAACCTGCACTGCCAGGAACATCTGCTGACAGCAACGTTGCTCCACTTTGTCAAATAACAGTTAAAATTGGAAATGAAGCTATTGTGAAAAGACATATTTTGGGGTCCAAATTGTTTTACAAAAAAGGCAGAAGATCTAAATATGAATCCAAAGACGATCAGACAGTTCAGGTTGCAGAACGGGAAAAGAGAAGCCTGTCTCGAGTCTGTCCATCAGACTACATTGAAAGTGAAATGGGCGATGATATCAGTGACCATGACTCTAATGATAAACCTTGGCGGCCATATTACAATTACAAACCAAAAAAGAAATCTAAACAACTAAGAAAAATGAGAAAAGCAAAATGGAGAGAGAAATACAGGAGCAGAAATTCCTGTCAGGAAAGCGAGAAGACCTATGTCACCACTTATGCTCTTAGGAATATTCCTGAAGAGAAGGTCTGTAATCAAGAAGAGAAAATGCCAGATCTTAACTGTAAGCTCTGTGAAAGGGAGAACACATCTACAGAAATATCCCATGATCACTCACCCCGGGAGACCACAGAGTCTGAGTCTTTCACTTGTGATTTATGCCAAAAGCATTTCCAGAGCTCTTCCACCCTAAGGATGCACAAGCGGTGTCATACGGGGGAGAAACCCTACTTTTGCAAAACCTGCGGGAAAAGTTTCTCCATCTCCAGCAATTTACAGAAGCATGAACGCACCCATTCTGCTGTCAAGGATTTCATCTGTCAACACTGTAACAAAGCATTCAGCCTCAACGAAACACTCAAAATACACGAGAGAATCCATACAGGAGAAAAGCGCTACCACTGTCAGTTTTGTTTTCAGAGCTTCTTATATCTTTCCACCAAAAGGAATCATGAGCAAAGGCATAAGCGTGAGCACACTGGGAAAGGCTACGCGTGTTTTCAGTGCCCCAAGATTTGTAAGACGGCAGCTGCTCTTGGGATGCACCAGAAGAAGCATTTGTTTAAACCACCCAAGCAAGAGGACAGAAAAGATTGTTTGTTTAATGAAAGCTCAAAATCGTATAAAAGTCAACATGTCTTTGATTCAGAGAAACAGGAAACAGCTAAACCTCTGCTAACTAAACACATAACTGATGCAGAGGGTTACAAAGCCAGTAATATTCAGAATGCCACATTGGATGTTGGACTCTGAGTAAGAAAAGGGTGTGGCAAGAAAGAAAAGAGAGAGATGAAAGGCCATAGATGCAAGTAATTAATGCAAGAAATAAATAAATAAATCCCAATTTACAGAAGTTCTTAAAACTTGAGATATATATTTTTCACATAAATATATTGCATACTTTACATTTTAAATGTGCCATACAAAGCAAAATTTGGAAACTATAATGAAGCTGATAAAGCCTAAAAAAGTATAAGGAGATATTAATATCACTCAGAAGAAAGTTTATGTAGAAAAGAATACGCTTAACTGAAATGTTTAAAAGGATATTATAAAGAATTTAGTTGAATTCAAAATATAACTTGTTAATGATATCTATCATTTTGGGCAACTAAAAAATGAGTGATATCCATTCAGAACATAGTAGGGTTAAAGTGTTTTCTGCTAGAAGAAAATACATTATATCTTCCTAACTAGAATTTGTTCAAAGATCAACACTGTTCTAAAATTTTAATTTAGCCCTAGTTTAATGTGTACACAATAAGTATCTGGTTAAGATTCTAGCATTTGTTATTTGAGTAGTCCACTCACCCATTCTGAAGTCTGAATATGCTGTTATAAAACAATTTTGTAAGAGGTTATGATTGGTTCGTCACACAATCAGTCAGATGTATTATTATAATAAATATTTATATTCTTAACATGTACCACAATGTGTCATGAGCTCATTATATATTAGTGCTATCATCTTTGCAGACTGATGTGCAAGTGAAGTTTAAATGATAGCATTATACACAATTCCTCCATGAGCATAGTTAGTTACACACATGGAATAAGGTCTCTGTCTTGAAGAGACTTTTCTTACCATTAGTCTGTGGCTCTACAAGCACCAGAACATTCAGACTATCAATTCAATTCCCATGTCTGTCTGCTTTATACAATGATTTCTCCCCATTGACTTGATCCAGGCTTGACTTGTCCTCTGAGAAGAAATAATTTGCAAGAATCCAGTACAGGAACAAGTGGCTGGATAAAATATGAAATTTCTCCATGGAATCTTCCTAAATTTACACCCGATGTTTCAAATTTGATCCTAAATATACATTCAAGGCCCAAAAAGGGGAGGAGAGGCACCACTGATCTTATTTTAAGTATACTAGTGCACTCTTGAGTGTGAAGATAGTTTTGGTACCTTCATTTAATCCAAGACCAACACTATCATATTTGGATTTACTGAACTGTATTCCAAATTGACTTTCCTAGAGTTTTACATAGTCATCCAGCTAGTTTGTGTAATGTACCACAGAATTTAGATACTCCAATCCTAACCTCAAAGATGTATAGAACTGTCTACCTGAATAATTTAATGTGGGTTTTCAGTATTACTTTGTATTTGCATACTTAATGGGCACCCTGTGCACACACCCCTCTCCTAATATTTCAATAATAATAATGTGACCAACCATAATATATTGATTTTTTTACTACTAAAAATTAGGAATGTTGTAAAAATGCATCATTACCCAGAAATGGATTAAACCTGCACAGAAATTTTGGTAATTCTACATAAAGTGGTTCTTCTGTAAGCTTTTTGAAAAGAAATTCTTGTTATCATCTCCTCTGCTGATATTTCCTATGTCTATAGAGGTTGTGAATTATCTGCATTATACTAAGAGAAGATTTCCCTACCCAACAGGCTATATAAATGGCATTTTCTTTTTTTAAAAAAAAAAAGCTTATCTGAAGAGGTAACATGTTTCTAAGAGATCATCCTTTTATATTATAGTTGTAACTCTGCACCATTAGTGATTTGGGTTGCATTCTCTATTCAACAACTTTGTACCAACCACAAAGTTAATCAAATATACTTGAAAGGGTTTGGGTTATTGTTTTCCTTTTCTCTCTCTCTCTCTCTCTCTCTTTTTAATCTTTTTTGTTTTCCTGAGCACTATGGGGTTTTTTTGCTATTTGAAATTAACATCCTTCAAATAAAGATATCTCCAGCTTTAGCGATCAATTATGCTTATTTTGTTGATCAAGCTAAACAATTAACATATATTAACAAGAAGAAACATAAATCAAACTGATATGGGAAAAAAGCAATTTTTTAAAGAAAACTATTCTGAATGAGTTACTTTATTAGGCACGTTGGTGACTAAAGAAAAGAGAACACTGAATCAATGGAAAAAAAAATTGAAAAGAGTATACCAACCAGAGGGCAATACTGTATCCATTAAATCACAAATTAATTATTCACAGTAACTTATACAATTTGCACATTATATATTATGCAAATGATAGATTTCATAATTTTGCATAAAATACAAGACAAATTATATAAATTGTCACAGATGATGAAAAACTGATATAACTTTGTCTCATTCAGACTATTTTGAATACAGCTGATTTGTCCATTATTTTGGAGAATGTTTGGATCAAAACATGGCCTACTGCATCTAAAATCCTCTAAACAGAGGTCCTTTAATTAAGTTTTATTTGTAAAACATACCCAAATTTTTAACACTTTGAGAATGTAGAAAACTGCACACATTTTATTATAGAAAAAGAATTATTTAAAAAATATTCTATTTGGCACATTTAATTTTGACCTTTTATGCTCACATTTCCACATTATATAACACAAATTGTGATAATGATAACGTATTTATTCTTAATTTGTCTGATGTCATTTTGCACGTAACTAAATAGAACGTATCCCTCACAATATAAGCACTGAAAAAGATCTAACTATATACATAAAACATTTTTGATGTGAAAAATCTATCACTTAGAAAATTATAATTACTGTGAGTTATTTAAAATAAGTACTTTATGAAACTTTGTAAAACAATATATCTCAATAATTCTAGACCAAAGCCAACATTGGTTAAGATTTATATGTAGTGATAATTGTATAAATATTTTCTATAGCTGTTTAATTCATATGGAAAATAATAGCTTCTGTTACATGAGGGCTTTGTATATTTTGATAAAAACATGCTAACTTTGTAATTCTGCTTGTTCACTACAGTTTATAGAAACCAATTTTAATATGACAATATTATGTTTATAATTCATTATTGGAATTTTATTAATCAGCCTAATGGACAAGTATTACAACAAACATAGAATTAAAGCAAATATAATTGTTAAGGACAATGTTTACTACATAATGGCATATGCATTTTGTTTTAATAAATTATTAAAAACTGGCATTCACAACTATTAAGAGAATCAAACTTTTTTCTCTCAACAAAATATTATAATAATGACTTCATAAAAACAGCCAAATTCTTTCATTCATTCTGTTTTGTCTCTTCCTTCCTTCCGCAATTTATCTATCATACCACTTAAAGCATGCAATGGTTGGCATGCAATGATTACATCATAATTGTGCTAAATTATTTTGAAAGAAGTTGGTTGATAAAGCTTACCCAAAATTCATCCTAAAACCTAAGAAAACCAAGAGTATAGTTATTGTTTCAGATTTTATGAAAGCTTTATATACCAGCATATGTGAAAATCACCCACAATTCAAATATGACCATACAAGTTACATGACTATCTTAGAAAAAAGTTAAATGATCACTCTTTTGCAAAAACATAATCTAAAAAACAACAACCAAAAAACAGGTGGGCATGAAGGCTGATGGGAACCAAGAATTATGAAACTAATACATTGGCATATCTGGGAATTTACATCACAGACCATTCTTTACAAACCACCATGATTGGATTTAGTCGGTACATGCCCAAATCCAACAGACTGCACTGTGGCTTAGGTTAATGCCTCTGTCTGCCCATCCCATACTATGAACAGTATGTATTTTATTCCCTGTGTGTGCGCGCGTGCAAAGTGCACTGTGTCACTACCATATTACGAACTCCTTGGGTTACAACAAGAAGTTACTCTTTGAAACCTTTCCGACATCCTCCACTGCCATAATGTGGAATTCAATATAGAAATCTATTTTTAAAAAACTTTTAAATTCAATATGGAGAGCTCCTCCTCATGACTCAACAGAATAAGGAACGATCAGGAATGAAATCTGCTTCCATGTCAGAGTTTCAGTTCAGTTCTAGGATGCCAATTACTAAAACAATTTTACTAAAATTGTTTTACTAAAACTATTACTCTTTTGGAGTAATTGTCCTTGTTCTTGGACTTTAGTTGCTCTCCCACCAGGGCTATTTGCTTGTTTCACAACTCCTGTTCTACAAGTAGTTATGACAGGAACATTATATACCAAAAATAAGATACAGGTTGGTGTACACATTGGTTAACTCTTGTACTCTTACATAATATAAATCACTTATTTTGTCTGAAACCAATTCTCTGATTCAAAATCAATTTTAAATGTCAGGAATGAAAGAAGTTAGGTCCAAGAACATTTGAACAAACTATACATTTTGAATATTGATGTATGTAAATCTACTTCTCTGATCTAAAAATGAACAAAAAGAAATCTTATTTAGCATTAATACTTTTCATATGACCAGTTACTACAGTCCAGTTTCCCAAGTTCAAGATTAGCATGTTAAAGTACTGTATATGTTAGTATGCATAGAAACAGATGGAAACTATACTTCATATTCTGCATGTTTTGTAGCACAGGATATGAATGCTTAAGATGGCCTTTAAGTATTGCTAATTAGAATAAATTCTAGGAAATACTGAGCAGTAACCGATACCAAAATTGGCTGGCATTACTTCAAAATAATCCACTTTCTTCAGTTATATCCTATTAAAAGTTTCTACTGTTATTATTAATGTTCCTTTTCTGCAGTGAGTTACATCCAAAAGTTACATATCCATCTGCACTCAATGTTCTAAAACCTTCTGTTTTTACATCCACCTACTCCTTCTTGCTAAAAATATATTTTCAAAAAAACATCATAAAAAATATTTGAGTATTAATTTGAAACTCATTCAAAGCAAGCAACATGTATCTTGTAACTTTCACCCTCTTTCTGGATCCCTGGGTGCAAATTAATAAAAGATGAATGGAAATGACAGGAGGCTAAATTAGAGATTAAACAAGCAATATATTTGTAGCACAACACACTAAGCTACAGGTTATTAGCTATGAAGCCAAAAACAAACCACATTATGGCAAACTATATTATACAAGAAAGTAGCCCTGTAGATTTTGCTGCTGCTGCTGCTTCTTTTCATTCCATGTATATTTTAGGTAATATGCATGTGAATTATACTAAAGAAAATTTAGTATGGGTCAGACCTCACTGATATAATTTCCTCTTACCTACATTTTTTTTCTATCATTCTAAATGCATTTGTGTTGATTGTGATAGTACATTGCTGAAAGAAAGAAAAATCTCACTGAATATATTGAAAAGCATTTTCTTCAGCTTTAGATTCCTTTATTACTTTGCCCTAGATTTGTCTGAAATCTATTGAAATGTAGAAAGCTGTTCTGTTCTATATTATTAATCATTGGAGGAAGGAAAAAGATAATTCTAGTGGCATTAACTGTTCTTTCTAGAAAGGAATTTTCATTCAAAAGCCCATTTTAGTGCCAACAATTGTGCTAACACTTACAATTAAAAGTGGATTGTATTCAACAAAATAGCTAAATCAGAAGCCATTGTGGATTTAGGCTATTCTTATAGCTTATAAGTATACTTTTATATACTTTTTGCTATGTAAATTCAACCATTTCTTCAACAAACCATCATTAAGCCAACCATGGCTTAGTGCAGTTGAGTTACTAGTTTGAGGAATCTTTAATAAAGCAATGTCAATTAACAGAGCATTTTTTTGTATTTTACCTCCATGTCTATAAAGTACATTTATCATATCTGGGCTGCAAATTTCAGTGCATCCACAAGATGGCCACAAAGAATTACTGAAACAGTTAATTCATAACCATAATCTGATTGGTCCTATGGATATTTCCAGTCCAGGCATGGTGGCTTATGTACCATCAAGATTTTCTTCATGATCAGTCCCTAACTTGTTATTTCAGCTTTTCCAATACTATGCTCATTGCCAATGTTACCAAGTGGATCCACCTTGCTGATGGTGGTCCCAAATTTTCAAACATATATGTGTGGTGTGTGTGTGTGTGTGTGTGTGTGTTGCTACAACTCTAATTGTAACATTCAATTACAATTACATGATAAATTTAAATACAACTAAATAAATTTAGAGTTCGATCTTTGCTCATTTAAGGTATTTTAAAGAAAATCCTTTTCTTTCTTTCTTGAAAAACCCATAATGTGCCCAAAAAGGGATAATTTGAGCCCAAGTGCAGACAGTTAGTGTGAGAGGTTTTTTTTTATAATCCAACAGCACTTTTTCTCCCTGGCACCTAATCACAGCACAGATGGGCCTGGCAAATAACTTTTTGCTATCTCCATGATGCCACCTTCATCTCATTCCCACTCCAGAAACGAGCTAGGTTGACCTCATCTTTAGATGTACAAGTGTTAAAATAGTATCTTCCTCCTTATTTCAACATTATTTCACAAGTCTCCAGAAACATCTGACCGGCTTTGTTACCCAGAACCAGCCAATTGGAAGGATCTGGAAAGGAAATGAAGGATACAGGTTCAGCAAAGAGCCAGTATATTTCTCGAACAGGGGACAGGCAGTTTGGACTTAGGCAACTAGTTTGTCATAGTGATTAAGGTAGCAGCCTGGGAGACTGTGAGTTCTAATCCCAACTCAGGCATGAAACCAGGATGGCTACGGGCCAGTCATTCTCTCTCAGCCTTAGAAAGCAGGCAATGGCAAACCACTTCCCAAGTCCTGCCAAGTAAACGCAGACAGTGGCCATAACTCAAGACACTAATATAGAAATGCCCAATTAAGAGCCTCATGCGTTTTTATAACTTTCCATCGTCACAGTACCGGTAGGTACCAGTCTTTGCCGAAACAGCCGCTCCCCACCTCTCCCAATTTCTTCAAAACGGCTTCCATTTTCCAAATCAACACTGGTTTTGATCTGCAAAAAGCACCGATTCTATACTGCGGTTTAGATCTTGCTATGACGCTGGGCCCGCATCAGATTGACTAACGTCTGACAGTTCCGGCCGCCCTGACTTTCTCTTAGTCACGCCAACGGAAAAGATAAGGCAGCTGCCCCCTCCAAAGGGCGGGGGGGGGCCGATGCATCACCCTGATAACCCCGGAGTATAGCCGCTCACTTTGCCGGGGAAAAGGAAAGCAGAAAGAGCACGCATGCGCGCGCGGCACCCGTGCCCTGCCGCCCCCCCCTCGAGCTTCCAACCAATGGCAGATGAGAGGAGCCCGAGAGCGGTAGGCGTGGCCGCGGTGGTCAGGGCTCTGCCCGTCAGTACCGCGACGGGGTAGGTCTACGCGGTTTTGTACACAGTCCGAGTGCCGTCGGGGCGCGTGCGGAAGCCGTTTGGCCTTTCTCTTGGCCGCGCGGCGGGTGGCCCCCGGCTATGGCTGCTGGCGAGGGGGGCGACGAAGAGGTGCGAGTGCTGCAGACTCTCCGCGGAAAGATTTGTGAGTCACTGGGAGGGGTCGACTCTCCGCACCCGCTTTTCTGTGTCTATGTACGTATGTGTGTATGTACAAGTCGGTGGCCAGAGAGAGGTGGGGGCGGAAAGAGGGAGAGGGAAATGCGTGTGAGGGCGGAGGTCGGAGACGAGGCTGCTGAGCCGGAAGGAAGTGCCTGTGCTTTGGAGCGGCCTCACTGACTCATCCGCCCCAGCCCTCCAACCCCTGCTGCTTCCCCGGGTGCTGTCGGCGGGTGTGTGCCTGTGTGTAGGAGTAGATTAGTCCGCCTCGTGGCGAAAAGCTACAGGCAGTTGGGGTGGAAGTGCAGTCATTGTGATTAATTTACTTGTTGCTGTGCCTTCTGGTTTTGATGGGTTGCTTTTACCCTTCTTATTGGAAGGTATATATATATATTTTAATAAGCCATTCAGATTGCATGGATTAAACACTCTGGAAAATAGAATAGAATATTTATTGGACACACAAGGAATTTGTCTTTATTGGGCACACAAGGAATTTGTCTTTGGTGCTCATGCTCTGAGTGTACATAAAAAGGCAAAATACATTGGTCAAGAATCATAAGGTGCACAACACATGATAGTCATAGGGTACAAATAAGCAATCAGGAAACAATATCAATATAAATCATAAGGATACAACAAAGTTACAGTCCTGCAGTCATAAGTGGGAGGAGATGGGTGATAGGAACGCTGAGAAGACTAATCGTAATAATGCAGCCTTAGTGAATAGTTTGACAGTGGTGAGGGATTATTTGTTTAACAGAGTGATGGCGTTCTGGGTGGGGGGGGACCTGTTCTTGTGTCTAGTTGTCTTGGTGTGCAGTGCTCTATGCAGTTGTCTTTAATAAAAGTAAATAGTAGCCAAGTGTCGTGAGAGAAATCAATAAAGACACGCACCCCTATCAAAAAAGGAGTGGAGTGACTGAAGATTGAGAGTTGAAGTAAAAGGAAAATAGAAGGAACTTTCAAAAGGAAGAGTTTTGCACAGATAATGTGTGGGTATATCATTACTTTTGAGCTGG